CTTGAAAAAAAAATTGTCTAGTCCTAACCTGGGCTCCTAGTTCCCCTTTCCTGGATTTTTTTTTTTGACTTTTTTTTTTTTTTTTTTTTTTTTGTATTTTGACTGCTCAATGATTAGAGAAAAACATGTTCTGGTCGTTATGGAAGTTCTTAAAACAAGGTGCCTTTCTGCCTTAGCAGGTAGTGTCTTGAGGCTGTTAGATTTGGTCTTTGGGTTCCTTAATCAGCAGCAGACAGAACATGCAGATAAGTTTGGCATGACTTTTACAGACCTGTATAAATCTGGATGCAGAATGAATGAGCAGGGTGGGCAGACAACCCCAGTGATTGCCTTCGCCTTCTTTGAGGGACAGAAAGACTTGTAATAGAATTGGGCTTGATTCAAATGAGAAAAACATGTCATAACTGAATTGTATCTGTTTGGGCATCATAGTGATTTGGGTGCAAACCAGTTATTCAAAGAGTAGTATCAGTATGAAGAATTGATTAATTCATCCTACATTTTTTTCCTGAAACAATTTAAAGTGCATGAGGAAAATTTTTTTATCAAAGGTAGGGCACCAAATCCATTTTCCTCTAAACAACTGATCATTTGCAGTCTATATTCTTGCCAACATGAGTTGAGTGTAGTTTAAGCTAGAGATAAGCTATCACACTTTCTAAAACTCTTTATATATATATATATTTTTACACTTAGAACATAGGTCTTTGGAAGAATATATTAGCATTGGGTGTAAGTAAATTATCTCAAGTAATCCTAAAGCACATTATTGGGATCAGCAAAATATGTACAGTTTATATATAAATGTGTGTTTGATTCTGTAGATGACGAACTGAGAGATTTTCCATGCTGACTTTAATCAGAACCCATATTAGCAGATGCTTTAACTACTGTCATATCAGCCTTGGGAAGAGTTGCAACACTGGAGTGACTGAGGAAAGAGGTTTTGGCTGGAGGGATTCCTGACCTCTACACTGATGTGGTAGAGCGTATGATGGCTGTGTTTTGATGAGAAGCAGTTATCCTTTAATGAGCCCACGTTAACATTTCTTCAAGATACACCTTATCTTAAAATAATTCTGAAAGAACTCTTGTGCTAGTCATCATAATCAGAATTAGAATGAATGCCACACTAAATATCAAAAGGAATGGAATGAAAATCACTAGAGAGGACTCATGGGCTGTCAGTGGGTTAAGCATCTGTCTTCAGCTCAGGTCATGATCCCAGGGTCCTGGTATCCAGACTGCAGTGGGCTCCTTGCTCAGCAGGGAGCCTGCTTCTCCCTCTGCCTGCTGCTCCCCCTGCTTGTGCTCTCGCTGTCCCTGACAAATAAATAAAATCTTAAAAAAAAAAAAAAAGGAAAGTCACGAGACAGAAATAATCATGAGATATTAGTTCACATGCTCTATTAGCAATGTTATTGGCTGTGATTCCTCAAGGCCAAAACAAAAACAAAAACAAAAACAAAACAAAAAAACAAAAAACACAAGTACTGGTTTATTAGTTATTCACTGAGAGTGAGTACCTGAAGGAGAAGGTTGTCCTTTTACAACACCGTTTTTAGTCTTTTCTTCTGAATTCATTACTTCTTTGTAGATAAGTTCTGTAAGAAACAAATATCAGTGTCATAAAAAACAAATTTCTTTTTAATACGCAGTGTAAACTTACTAGTTGATGACAAATAATAACATTTTGATGCAATTGAGTAAACTGCAAATCAATTGGGATTCTTTTACTCTTCTATTTCTACATTTTCTTATAATATCACAGAACCCAGCAAAACTAAGTGCTCAATAAAGCATTTGACCAAACAAATGTGTGAAGAATACACATTTTACTTGGTTCTGAATTCCTTGGGGGAATTTCTAATGCCATCTAACTTTATCTCTTAAGAACTTTATTTAATGGCTCAGTTTTGAGCTTCCGTATTTCTTCTGTATTCACTCCCTAAGACATACACCCCTCCTGACATTAAACTACTGCTTCCCTATAATTTTCTAACTCTTTCTTCATTTTTCATTTTTTGCTTGACTCAAATCTTGGGTTTGTAAAACCAAACTTGGTTAAACCCAACGTCATAACAATTATTGCATTTATTCCCAAACTGGCAACCATGTCTAGTTTTTTCTTTGCTAGAGTTAAATGTGTATATCTTCTTCCTTTTAATTTTCCCCTTTTAACTAAAACTCAGTGCTACTTACTCTTGCTTGGCAACAGGTTGCAATTTATATAATCGTTGTCTTTACAAGTATTTGTTTTTCCAGTTTCCAATTTAGTCCGTGTTCATCCTCAAGTGATATTTATATCCTAGTAGCTACTTACACACAAACCCTTAAGAGTAACTTCTGGTCCTTATTAGATCAAATCAAGTCTTTTCTGTCTATCATTTAGCAATTTTATTTACTTTGGTACACTATTTGTATGAACACACACAAACAGAATATGTTCATCTTTCCATATTCTCCAACAGGACCCCTTGACTAGAGAAATCTCTTTGCTATCATTATAAAACTTTTTGACCATTTCTACCCTTTGTTTTCCCCATATGTCCCTATACTGGTATTTTCCTGTTTTTCCTCCCCAACTTATAGTGACTAATTCCTTCAAAGCAGCTAAAATATTTCTTTTCTTCAGATATTCCATTTATGTTCCTCCTCATTTTAACCTAATGGTTTGTTATGATCTGCATTTAGTTTTTCATATTTATCTACTCTGTAGTTATTTATATTAGTTTAACAATTCTTCATAGTTTCCGGTTTATTTCATCCTGAGTGTAATCTTGACCATGTATTATGTGCTTGGAAGAATTCTGGTGAAAAAAATGAACTAATGTGTTTATTCATTATTTTCTTACTTTGAAGGATAAATAAACCATTTAGATATATATTTTTTCTATTTAAATTTTCAAGTCCTATAAATGAAGTAAATGAATTCATATATTAACTCTCTTATCTTATATATTAACTATCTTATATTTTCTAATGTCTAAAGCTATCTTAGACATAATTTTGTTTATTTTATGTGATAATTTTATGTACGAATATGGAATGTGTCATTCTGAAATTTTGAATTGAAGCTTGCCCTCCACCATGACAAATACTTTGACAATTGGTACTATTTTAAAATGTGTTAGTAATTAATTCCTTTCATTCTTGAGTAAATGCAATATTGTTATTAGTATGAAAAGACAGATAAAGTTTTGAGAGCTTTCAAATTAGTATAAGGATAGTGATTATGAAATAATCTGTTACTAAATTGCTTTAAAGGGAGATGCCTCAAAGATGATTTCTGAGTTTCAATAAAGCAAAATGTATATTTAAGTGGTAGAGTCACCTTTCCATTCTTCAATGGTGTGTTCTCTTTCATCCAGTTGTTTGTCATAAATCTGAGGTGGAGGCTGCAGAATAAAAACAAACAATAAACTTTGTGTAATAACTCAAATATAACCAAACTCTTCCAGCATGTGGGACTCCCTTGCTATTCAATTACCCATAAATTAGTGGTAATTGCAGTAGTGCAGAAGTTAAAGTTTCCCTGCAGACTTATGAAGGGTTCATTTATATGCTAATATATATTATTGACAAAATACATGTTTATATTTACTGTAGCAGAATTCAAACTGAGAGCTCAGTTCCCAAACCTGATTCAGAACCCAAGTATAAGCAACTAAGAGCTAGTCTTTAAAAAGCAAACAAGATTATTTGCTTACAAAGATTCAGAAGCTATCCCCCCCCACTCACTTCCTCGATAACAGAACCCTACCAAAACTAGTCCCCTCTAATAAGATTTTGTTCCACTTTTGGACCCTCCTGAAGAAGAATCTTTGACTCCTCTCAACAGACCACAGTACAAGTTCTTAGTGTAAAGACAGATTTAGATATAATCTACCTTTTTTCTGTGAAACATCATAAAATACCTTCATTTTATATTTAAATGATATTTTCCCCCCTCAGACTGAAGACTCTGCCAGTTTTCTACTAAAGTGGATCACCGTAAACCCCTGAAGGCCATTTGGGAGACATGAAATCACAAGGCCTTCAATCTGACTTAGGGAGTCAAGATTCCTTTGCTATAAAGAGTTCAGAGATGGAAAAGTAAAGATTTTTCACCAATCCAGGTGCCTTCCAGGAAGGAGGGTCTCAGATAGATTCCCTGACTTCTTCCTGTTGAAGAGAAATAGATCTCCTGATAGAGGAGATCTATCATGATGACCTAAGGTAGGTCTACTTAAGACCAAGTGACATGGAAAGAAAAAAATAATCTCTTGGAAAATATATTACCATAAAGTAGATAGAGAAGGGGCTGAGGAGCTCCACTGGCTAGCAATGGACTGAATGAAAGAAGACCTGCCAATTTCTGGTGCCACAAGACAGGGCACCCTACAGTTCATCCTGTCTTACACTCCAAAAGCAAAAATTGTTGTAAGAAACTAAAAGAATTACTCAGTAGAGTGACTCAGGCCTATGAGGACATGCATCCCTCAAAAACGACTATCATAGGAAGGCTTTGGACAAGACTTTCAGAGATAGCTCCTGCCTTCTGTTGGAGGTTGTTGGCCATCAGCAGCACCTTACTACTAAAGTAGCCCTTCTTTACTACATTTAGAACCCCTGGTAACCTGAATCAGGACAAACATATTCATTCTAGCCCTGATATGCTGGGCAGCCTCACATATTACAGAGGTAATTGGGTATGAAAACAGAAAAATTTTCCCAGTTGGGGTGGGCAACTTAGCACAACACTGAATTTTTTGAGAAATAACTACTGATGCGGCCAGACATTCCTTTAACACCTGGAATTGCTACTGAGGCAAAAGGCTTTAAACCAACTACTGTGATTCACATGTGGCTGGCTGAGTAGTCTTTACCGAAAGAACTAAGCAAAATGAGACCTCACATTACCCTATGACACTAGTGAGAACACAGAAACACTGACTACATAAAGGTGAGGGGACTGGGAGATGAGACACTGCCTTTAGGACCTGACTAAGGCAGAAGATTCTAATCCAAACTATAAAGGATTCCCAAATTAAAGGAATATTATGATGTAATGAGTAAATCAGTAAAAAAAAAAAGTGGGTTTTGTTGTTGTTGTTTGTTTTGTTTTGTTTTAATTTGTGAAACTGTCATCTAAGTAGGCTAATGCAAAGCCAAATTCTGGTTATGTAAAGACACTTTGCCAAGGGCATGTTTCCCGCTTTGCCTTCTTGAATATGTGTATTGTCGTGTGGAGGTCCCCTGCCAGACACAGCATGCATAAGCTCTCAGATGTCCCCAGAGCTCTATGCCTTGTTGGTGCCTCGTTCTCATTCTAACGATAGACTCAGCTCGGGACCCTATGTGGTTTACTTCTCCATGGGGTGGATTTTTCCATTCAAGTTTCAAAATTGAACATGGCTCAGAGTACAGTTTCTGCCAAAGTGCATAAATGCCATTTTCTCTTTGCAACAAAACTATTTTGAGAGAGGCTTTCCTTGGGTCTTCATCTTACAGCTGTTGGTAATGCATAAGCATGAAGTACATAGAATCTAGCCGCGAACAAACTACAGAGAAAAAGTACTGAGCCCAAGATTTTTCCTTTCAAAAAACCAATAGGGCTGTAAGACATACTTGCTTTATAGGTTGCCTGCAAGAGCTACATGTTCAGAGTTCTGTTTTGTTTTATTTTGTTTTAAGGAAGGGATGTAATCACCTGCAGTGGAAGGGTACATTCACAGAAAGATGCTTCCACATAATAATATAAAAGAGGAATTCACCAGTAATTTAAAGAAAGTAATGTCCTATTCAAACATACATATATATGTGCTTAGACAGCGATCATTAGATGCAATTGCCCATAATACTTCCTTCTAAAGAGAAGCTGGTGTTCTGTTGCTCGGTTGTTCCCTCCCCCTCTCCTTATTAAACAGGAAGGATTCTCTTTGCCCAAGTAACAATCTAAATAAAAAGAAATGAGGAGTGGGGATAAAGGAAGCACTCCAGAGAATATTTTAGGAGAATTTGGTAGATTAGAACAATTTCAGATGTGAGAAAATTAAGGATAAAATGAAATTAAGGATAATATATGGAATGTTATTAGAGCTTGTGACTTGCATGGTTTTTGGTTTTTTTTTAAAGATTTTATATATTTATTTGACAGACAGAGATGACAAGCAGACAGAGAAGCAGGCAGAGAGAGAGGGGGGAAGCAGGCTCCCTGCTGAGCAGAGAACCTGATGTAGGGCTGGATCTCAGGACCCTGAGATCATGACCTAAGGCAAAGGCAGATGCTTAACCCACTGAGCCACCCAGGCGCCTCGACTTGCATGTTTTTGAATATTCCTCAAGAAACTGAAGATTCTCTTTCAGTTATTTTTGAAGATTTTGGGCTCTCCTTCCTTGTTTGAAATTCCTGCAGATATGGAGCCATGAATTCCAATGGATTACATAAACAATAACTTAATGTAGATGTGTTTTATATTGATGTTATTACATACACATGCACAAATCATTTCAATTAAATGAGATAACGCATGAACAGATATATAATCACTATGAGTTAGTAAATATTAGGATGAACATATTCATTTATTACATTCATTCATTCAGTTAAGGGCTTGGGCACCTAATGTGTGCCAGACTATATTAGAAATTGAAAATTCAAAACTGAATAATATGGCTGCTGACCTCAAGAAGCTCACAATTTAGTGGGGTAAGACTTATATAAAACAGAAAATTAATACACAATATGATAAAAAATATATGCGTGTATATTTATGGGAATAGAGCGGAGAAATGCTAACAAAATGCCAGGAAAACCTTTTGCTTCTTGGAGTAGATTACATCTGTACTAGTTCAATGAGCAAAGGATGTGTGAGATGTTGTCAAAAAGAAAGGAGAAGAAGAAAAAGATGACTTCAGGCCAAGGGCACAGTACCTAAAAAACATAGCAGTGGTGGTAGTGGATGCACGTTCCTTTCTACAGGTGTACACACATGCAGAGAGTACTGGAAGCAATTCTATGATAGCAACATATAACATATGTGGTCAGAAGTGCCAAGGGATAAGAGCTGTGCCTAGAGAAGAAGATGGGTCCGGTCAAGGCTATGTCAAGGATGCTCTTGGGTACCACAATACGGAGCAAAGACTTCTTCCTGAAGGGGAGGAGAAGTCACTGAAGAATTTAAGAGAATGGCATGAACAAATCTAAGGCTGGACTGAAGAAAGACACCACAGAAACCAGAGAGAAGGGTTAGAGAGCTAATGCATGATCTAGAAGATAAAAGGTTTGACCAGGGCAGGGAAGGTAAAGATGGATAGAAAGTACAGATTTAAGAATAATTAATAAATGATAACAAACCAAGTTGGTAGAATTTTATTTTTTATCTAATGTGGACACCACTAGATAAAGAAGAATGATTCCCATATTTCTAAGTTGAGTAACTGGACAATGATGGTGTTTATGGAGCCATCTAAAGAAACAGAGAATGTTAAAAGGAAAATTAGATTGGTAGAGAGGTAAGCCAAGTGCTATGTGGGCAGAGATGTTTATTTAAGAATTAAATAGATGATCTGAGATCACAGGAATGCTGTTGGCTAGAGATATATAGATTTGAGACTTTCAGCAAGAGGTATTTGTTGAAATCATGACAGTGCCTGAGGTCACCCATAGAGTGAATGCAAGTAGGAAGAGTAAAGGTCCAAAATGGACCCCTGTGACACGAAGGTTTAAAGGGTGACTAGAGGAAGGGAAGTAGACTAAGATGGAGAAGGAGGATGAGAAGCAGAAGAAGGAGAAGAAAGGAATCAAGGAACATTTAAAGAAATACATGGATAATTGACTCTCTCTGCTTGACTTATTTCACTCAGCATAATCTCTTCCAGTCCCGTCCATGTTGCTACAAAAGTGGGGAGTTAGGAGAAGGCAGTTGAGGGAAATTGGAAGGGGAGGTGAACAATGAGAGACTATGGACTCTGAAAAACAATCTGAAGGGTTTGAAGAGGTGGGGGGGTGGGAGGTTGGGGGAAGCAGGTGGTGGGTATTAGAGAGGGCACGGACTGCATGGAGCACTGGGTGTGGTACAAAAACAATGAATACTGTTATGCTGAAAATAAATTAAAAAAAAAATAAAGTCACTTAAAATAAAAAAAAAAGAAATACATGGATAATGAAAACATTGCAATGCTATAGAATTCAAGTGATCAGAGAGTTTCAGAAAGAGGAAGTGATTCTCTACTTGTAAATGAAACAAATGAAGATCTTGGCTTTTAAAGCACCAGAAGGGCATAATACAAAGCATGATTTTGAACCCCATAAAGGTTTCCAAACCTCAAAACTGTTACCACACCCAGAAAGATCCAGACAGATCTTTGATGGAAGACTTCAGTATCAGATAGCACCTAGAAAAAGTGGAACAAT